ACACACACACACACACACACACACACACACACACACACACACGATTGAACCTAGGACCTCACACATGCCATGCAGACATCCTATCATGAGCTGGGAGGAGTCACAGATGTGCACATAAACCCCAGGACTACACAAAAGCACTCTCAAGCTCCCCTGTACGTGTGCTCATGCGATCACATGGGCCATACCATCCTCAGGCATTCGTAGAAACCGAGCCATCCTACAACGGTCCCTAATACAGATCAGACATACATCTACACACATTCACATACACCCGCCCCAAAGTCACATGTGTGCAGTGCACGGTCATACTCAAACAAGCCCTCATAGGTATTGAGCACTCAAGTGCACACCCATTCATGAGTGTACAAACCATACACAAACACAATTACCTGGGCTTCTGAGCTTCCTAAGGCAGGGCCAGTAGTGTCTTCTCTGAATATACGCTATAGTAGGTGTTCAGTATTGCTCTGAGGAGGGGCTTCAATGGGAAAGTGGACTCATCCTTCAGAGATTCATGCCATCCATGTACTGTGTAGGCGTTCTGAGGACAGAACCTGTCATGTTTTGGAAACTGGGCACATCAGATCACCTGTTCACCAGGGAATGTGCAGTCAGTCTTCCGAGAGAAACATCACCCCGCCCTTTTTTTTGGTTCTCAGACAGTCAAGGCCCTGGTTCAGAGCTGTGGAGGGGACAAGTCTGCACCAGATGTTAGCTATGTCTGGACTCCAGTTTCCTCTTTGAAATTATGGGCCCAAATAATAGAAACAAGGAACAGACCAAGAGCACTTATGAAGATTTCCTAAGTCACTTAAACTTAATTCATCCATTCACTGCAGAGGAAAACAAAACAAAACAATCCTTGTAACAAATAAAGTCCAATAGACAGTCCCAGGAAAGATGAGTAGACAGCATTGTGGCTTTGAGCACATTCACGTTCATGAGCCACCAGAGCTGAGTGTAGGAGTCTAGGCAGCAAGCAGGACCTCAGAAGTCCCTGAGGACCCACCCCTTCCTCCTGGATAGAGATTACTTCTAAGACGTCCCCTCCCCCAAGGCTTTTACAGATCTGCCTTGCTCTCCACTGAATTCATGGGAGGCAGGAGAGAGAGGCATTAGTACTTCCAGAAGCAGCTTACTACCAGCCTATTGACAGTGTGGCATTAATTTAAATACTCCCGTTATTAATTTATGATCCCAGTTACTATTACTGCCAAGGTTATCCATCTCAGCACAATTTAATATGACCCACACCACCATGGCTGGGCCTAGGTTATTAATAATTTCCATGGTCTTGATCATTTAAGCCTTACTCCAACAATTACAAACAGCAATCGTTACTATTATTAGCAGTATTTCTATGATTAAGCTGAAGCGAAGGCTTGAGATGTATTGCTGAGTGCCGGCAGGAAGAGTGGCTGCAAAGGGTACAAAAGGAGGCGTGCAGCTTTGGGACTCAGGTAGGCCTGAGTGAGAACGTCTGCTTCCTGCCCCATCGCTTCCTCCTGCATTGCCTTAGGAAGGCTGCACCACCTCTCCTGGCCTTCCATTTCTTATTATAAGATGGGGCTTTGAAGGTAGATGGCCATGATCAAATAGAGCAATGCAGTGTTCATCACAGGAGGGATTCAGTCGTGTCTTGTTGGCTCAGTGTGTATTTATGGAGCACTTGCTATGGAGTGCTTGCTATGGGCCACACACACTCCTAGGCCCTGGAGATTCAGCAGTGGACAAGAGCAACAGTGAAACTGATAGTCTAGATCAGCCATTCTCAACCTGTGGTTCTGGACTCTTTGGGGGTAGAACAACCTTTTCAGAGGGGTCACCTAAGACTATCAGAAATATCAGATATTTACATTACGATTCATAAACAGTAGCAAAATTACAGTTATGAAGTAGTAACGAGAATAGTTTTATGGTTGGGGGGTCACTGAAACATAAGGAATTGCATGAAAGGGTAGAAGCATTGGGAAGGCTGAGAACCACTGGTCTAGAAGGAGTATTAATTGTTTGATATGAGGATTATTTTGAAATGTGATACTTTAGCTTGACCACACTATAGGCAGCACACTGGGGATCAGAATATTCCTTTGTTGAGATACCCGCATCACCATAACCACAAACACCTACCCCCAAACCAGTACATGCCACTATGACCGCCGTTGTCGTAATCACCACCGTCTCTATCACCACCACAGTTCACACCGTAACAGCTGCCTCAGCAAATCCTATCACTGCACTGCCATGATTTTCTCACTCCACATCCTCCCCAAGTCACTGTGACCCTGACCTTGGTGACAGCTAACCTTCGTTGTCAACTCAACTAGACTTGGGATCACTGGAGCACACAGCCATGGGTGTTTCTATGAAGGTTTTCCTAGAAAGTTTTAACTGAGGAAGGAAGCCACCACAAATGGGGTGGCATCTCATGAGCAGGGGTGCCATAGTGAATTCAAAGAGAAGCGAGAGAAGCATCTGCCATCCTGGCTGCTGATACAATGTGAGCAGCCCCCTCGGGTTCCTGCTTCTATGCTATGGCGGTTTGAAAGAGATACCCCTACAGATCTCAGCTGTTTTAATACTTAGCCCTCAGTTGGTGGCTGTTTGGGAAGGATTAAGGTGGCCTTGGGGCTGGAGAGATGGCTCAGTGGTTAGGAGCACTGTCTGCTCTCCCAGAGGTCCTGGGTTTGATTTCCAGCACCCACATGGCAGCTAACAACTGTCTGTAACTCCAAGATCTGACACCCTCACACCGACATACATGAAGGCAAAACACCAATGCAAATAAACTATTTTGAAAAAGAAGAAGTGTGGCCTTGTTGGGGGAGGTGTGTCCAGGGTGGGCTAGGGCTTCAAAAGCTTCCCACCGTCAGTGTACCCTCCCTGCTTCCTGTTTTTTTTTTTTTAAGGATTTTATTTATCCTGTTTTTTTTTAAGATTTTATTTATTATGTATACAATGTTCTGCTTCCATGTATATCTGCACACCAGAAGAGGGCACCATAACTCATGACAAATGGTTGTGAGCCACCATGGGGTTGCTGGGAACTAAACTCAGGACCTCTGGAATAGCAGTCAGCTCTCTTAACCTCTGAGCCATTTCTCCAGCCCCACTTGCTTCCTGTTTGTGTATCTGAAATGTGAGCTCTCAGCTACTGCTCCAGCATTGCCATGCCTGACTGTCTCTGCCATGCTCCCCAAGATCGTCTTGGACTCTTAGCCCTCTGGAATTCTAAGCCCCCAATAAACCCTTCAGTTGCCTTGATCATGGTTCTTCTTAGTTTGCTTTATTGGGTATTTTGTCACAGTAATTAGAAAAGTAATTAATAAACCATGGTCGCCATCACAGATAATTTTACCAAGTCCAGTACAACATGACTACCGCCGCCCACACTCACCATGAGCAACAACCCTGACCATCATCATAGACACCTCTACAAACTCTAGTGCCATCACGACCGTTATCATCACAACTACCTCTACTTATCCCGTAGCGCCATTGCCTGACTGAGCCCAACTCCTTTGTGACTGTGACTCCTGGTCCCAAACTAAGTAGTCTTCAACTGTAAGTGGTCCTATCCCAGACTCGACAAGAGGTACTTTCTACTCATCCCTCTTTTCCCTAATCACTGACAGATGGGGACACGGAGAGACAACTATGAAGAGATGGCCAGCTTGGCAGCACCAAGGGGACAATAGTTTTCCTGAAGAGTCTTCTAGAACTGTCAGCTGTGATAAAGCTGCCCATAAAGATCTCTCTGTCTCTGTCTCTGTCTCTGTCTTTCTCTCTCTCTCTCTCTCTCTCTCTCTCTCTCTCACACACACACACACACACACACACACACACACACACACACACTCAGGCTTCTGGGACCACAGCAACTCCAACGTAAAAGGGTAGATAACAATAAGCACAGCTCAGCATGGAGCTGGGAGGGGGAGGGGTTGGAAAATTGGGGTCCATATAGGAGGGGCAACTCCTCCCCTGTTCACCTCCCCATTACCTTCCAGGGAGAGGTCCTCTAATGTACTCTTCCTCTCTTCCCATTCCATTTGTCCATTCACCTGGACCTCTCCAAGGGCCTTCATATCATTGCAGTTGCAAAGAACTCGGCACCTCAAGGCTGACAGCTCCTCACGCCCATATTCCTGGCTGCAACCGTGAGCCAGGCTGAAGCCTTGCGGACAATGAGAATGCCCACTTCCAGAGCCTTTCTGTAGGGCAGGAGATGTGCACAAATGTCTCCCGTGTTCCCATTGCCATCTTGGGAAGGCAGTGCTGCAATCGCTCTATAGGTGAAGTGTCTGAGACTTGAAGAGGTGAAGCCACTTGCCTCAGGAGGAAGTGG